TTTCAGGAACTATTAATTGACTGTAGATCTTCATGTAGGCATGAGACCTTGTGAGATTCCCCCACCCACATTAACATGACAACTGGTAATGTTGTGCAGGTATTCTTTGGGAAACAATTATTATTGAGATTTCATGGGTTTGCATTTGCTGTCATAAAGAGAAGACACTCTCTCACAGCAGATCCTGGCCTTTCTGCTCCTAGAATCTTTCCTCCCCATCTGCTGGAATGTCTCCTGAGCCTTACCTATGTGGTTTGTGTTGTAGATGTGGCATTGGGCATCTAACAGTCAGTTGTTGTCTGGATTTTGACAAGTTGTGGATTCCTTTAATGGTCTCTGTTTGCCTCAAAAAGAAACTGTTGGTAAGGGATGCAACCTACACACATTTGTGAGTTTACGGAATGAGAATTTAGATTGTAGTTAGAAAGTAAACTGGTTTATGGAAGTGGCGATAATAGGTTCCTCTTTAGGGTTCACTGACTTACCAGCCACAAACAGTTGGCTAGGTTTACAATACCCTCCAACTGAGTCAATATGCTTTAAGACCAATTAGAAGACTGTTGATTACCACCAAGATATATGTTCCACTATTGGGAATATTTTATCATGCTGGTTATTATTGTCATTCATAGACTTCACATCAGTTAGATTATAGATTGCTTTTTTCCTTGGTTGTTTGCATAGCACCTTCTGATACTATGAGAGTTAGTTCTCAGGGAAGAGGGGCTTCCATGTAGATTCCAGCTTGATTCCTCTAAGTCCTGTGTCCAAAGTGTAAATTACCTTCAGCAATAGGGTATTACTTTCAAGTTCTGGGAGGCAACCAAACCAAATGGTAATAGCTAGTCCTGTTGTGGGAGTCTTTTGGAATACCTTGACCAACAACCTGAAGGCAGGTTTTCCATGCCTGCCCCTGGGGGTTTTGTTAGCTAGTCTCTTAGAAGGAGCACCATCACTCTCAGTGCTTCAACTTCATTTAAACTATAAATATTTAAACACACAGTTATATATTATATGCTTTTAATTAAACTTTAAATAATGTTTCCCTCTGGCTTTTTCAAACATCTTTAGTTTTATTATTCCTCCTCCTCCTTTCTTCATCTGTGTTGCCCTCTCTTTCCACCTTCAAATAAAGCCCACCTCCATTTTCTCATTTCCCATATTATAACACCTGTGTCCCACCATCACCTACTCTTTCTCTCTCCCACCCTTATCCTTTTTTTGCTTAATTTGTTTCTGCAGCTACTCCAGATTATATACACATATCTAAAGATGCCCAAATAACAGAGAATGTGGGTCATTTGTCTAACCTCATTAGTACACTATTTTCTGGTTTCATCCACTAACCTGAAAATTTCAGTTTTTTCTACTGCTGAACAGAATTCCATTTTGTGTAGATCACACATTCGCATTATCCACTTATTATTTGAAGGTTTCCAAAGGTAACAAAAATGCACACTGAATAAAAAACAGCATCTTCAACAAATGGTACTGGGGAATCAGAATGTCCATATGTAGAGGAATGAAAATAGAGCCATATTTCTCACCCTCTAGAAAAATCAACTTTAAGTGGATCAAAGTCCTCCATGTGAAACCTAAAACACTGAAAATGCTAAATGAAAACTTAGGCCGTACACTAGAAGATATAGGTGCAGCAAAGGACTTTCTGAATAGACCTTCGTTTGCTCAGGAATTGAAGCAAACAACTGAGAAATGGCACGTCATAAAACTAAAAAGCATCTGTGCAGCAAGGAAACAACTTAGTCAAGAAGAAGTTCACAAAGTGGAAGAGACTTTCTGTCAGCTATACATCCAATAGAGGATTCATATTCAGAACTTATAAAGAACTAAAATAAATTCAAGAAATCATGTGACCCAACTAAAACATGGACTATCTACCCGAACAGACCAGTCTCAAAAGAAGAAATGGCTAAGAAAAATCATTGAATATCCTTACCAAGTAAAGAATTGCAAATTGAACTACTTTAAAATACTATCTTACCCCAGTCAGAATAAGATCAAGAAAACATCTGACAACAAATGCCAGAGTTGATACAGGGAAAGGGAAAAGGGAACCCTTATTTACTTTGGTGGGATTGCTAACTGGTGTATCCAAAGGACTGAACAACTTATTCCAGAGATGCACCATGTTCATTGCTCCTCTACTCTCTGTAGTTAGGGAATGATAACCTCCTCAGAACGTATAGATTCATTCTGAAAACATTTGTTAGATGTCTGTCTCACATTCAATCAAGGTCATACCAGGTTAAAATCCATTCTTACACATAATCACATTTCCTGAACCATGAGTCTCTCAGTACACACATGTTCAACAAGTATTTATTGAACTAATAGCATTGTAAGCCTTGTAGTTAGGAAACTGTATGGTATAAAAATTCTTCATTTGGGAAATATAAAAAACTTGGTGCTCACAAAGTAGAGTGGAGGTGGAAATGAAGGGGTATGGATGAGGGTGAGGGAACAGAAGTGTGTAACTGAGATCAACAAGTCCATGTATGTTTAACACCCAAATTTATCTCCACATTTTTAAAACACACCTAGGAATCAGCATGTCAAGTGAACAAATTTTTAGTGAGGACAGCATAAGGAAACATCCCTGAAATTTTTGTTTTCAATGGAAAAAGTGATACAGAATATACCTGCCAACCTGGTGGGACTAGAGCTGAATCCTGAGGTAGCCATGGGGCCTGGAGGAGACTCTGATTCTGACCCTGCAGTGTTGCTCAACATGTGGCTCCCCAACTCTTTTTTAAATTAATTTTTATCTAAATTAGAAACAGTCTTATTTCACATACCAATCCCAGTTCCCTCTTTCTCCCATCCTCTCATACGCCCCCAACCCCACATCCCACCCCCATTCACTTCTCAGAGAGAGTGGATCATCAAATTCTGACATATCATTTGGGGTAGGACCTAGGCTCTCCCCCTTGTATCTAGGCTGAGAGAGTATCCCTCCATAGCAAATAGGCTCCCAAAGTCCATTCTTGGACTAGGGGTAAATACTGGTTCCACTGCCAGAGGCCCCATAGACTTCCCAGACCCCTCAACTGACACCCACATTCAGGGGGCCTAGTTCACCAGCTGTCAGACTGGGCTCCCTATGCTCCCTCCAACTTGTTCAGGTCAGCTATTTCTGTGGGTTTCCCCAGAATGGTCTTGACCCCTTTCCTCATCACTCCTCCCTCTCTACACTGGATTCCAGGAGTTCAACTCAGTGTTTAGCTGTAATCTCTGCTTCTGCTTCCATCAGAGTGAAGGCTCTATGATGGCATTTATGGTAGTCATCAATTTCATTATAGGGGAAAGGTATTTAAGGTAGCCTCTCCAACATTGATTAGATTCTTAACTGGGGTCATCCTTGTGGATCCCTGGAGATTTCACTAGTGCCAGATTTCTCACTAAGCCCATAATAGCTCCCCCTATTAAGGTATCTCTTTCCTTGCTCCCCTCTGTTCTTCCCCAACTCAACCTTCGAGATCCCTCATGTTCTCTTTCCCTCTCCCATTCTCCCCTACTCTTTCTCCTATTCCTCTCCCCCTCCCCCTGCGCTCCCAATTTACTAATGAGATCTGAGATACCATTTTATACCTGTCAGAATGGCTAAATTCAAACACCAATGACAGTTTATGCTGGAGAGGATGTGGAGAAAGGGGAACACTCCTCCACTTTGGAAATTACTATGGTAGTTTCTCAGTAAAATGGGAATCAGTCTACCATAAGACCCAGCAATTCCACCAAAGAATGTATATTCATGCAACAAGGACATCTGTTCAACTATGTTCATAGCAGCATTATTTTGTACTAGTCAGAAATTGGAAGCAACCTAGATGCCCCTCAACTGAAGAATGTATAAAGAAAATGTGGTACTTTTTCACAATGGAGTACTACTCAGCAGAAAAAAGCAATGGAATCTTGAAATTCACAGGCAAATTGCTGGAACTAGAAGAAACCATCCTGAGTGAGGTAACCCAGACATAGAAAGACAAACATGGTATGTTCTTACTCATAAATGGATATTAGACATAGAGCAAAGGATAACCAGTCCACATCCCCAGAGAAGCTAGGAAACAAGGAGGACCCTAAGAGAGACATACATGGTCTCCCGCCCTCCTGAGAAGGGGAAAGTGGCTTCCCACTTCTTACAGCGTTTGTATTTTTGAAAACACTTGTTTATCAAGTGAATGATGGAGGTTGAAGCCAAAGCCCACATCTTTAAGGAACAAAGGAGGTCCTCTACATGTTAAGGACAGTTTTGTGGTTTGGTCTGTTTGAGGGGCCTCTGGAATGGCACCAGGACTTATCCCTGGTGCATGAACTGGCTTTTTGGAACCCATTCCTCATGGGGAGTGAATTGCTCAGCCTTGATACAGGGGGGAGGGGCTTGGTCCTGACTCTACTTAATGATTCAGGCTTTGTTGACTCCCCATGGGAGGCCTTACCCTTTCTGAAGAGTGGATGGGGTGGGGTGAGGGGGGAAGCGTGAGGAGGGGAGGGAGATGTGACTGTGGAATTAATGCTTTATATATCACACATTTGATGGATGTCTTTATAATCTGTGCTTTCTCTCCATCTTTTTAATGAAATCCCAATGCCCCTCATTCTCTTTTGCCATTCATTCTAATGACCTGGTCCTACATCTAATCAGGCAGTGCACAGGGCACATGTCCTTCCTGCTGGCCAGGATGATC